ATGGCGCTTGTCCAGAAGGCTGTGCCGGAGTATTATGATAGTATTTGATATGCTCTTCAGGGAAACGTCCGATTAGAACCTAGTAAAGTGTAGCTTATAGCGCCTCCGTGACTTTTTTATTGCCCCCCCCCTATATATAACTTCACCCTCTATATCACTTGATGAGACGTACGCCTCGCTGATGCTGTGAACTGCGATGTGAATACTCCTTTCTAACACCCCTTATCGAATCTTATCAGCAGCTTACAGTTTTTGTCCCCACCAATAATGTTCTTGGCCCATACCCTATATCATATCTTGGAATCAAGAGCTAGCTGATGCTGTCACCCGCGTTATGGAATATGGTGACCTCCCCTTCTGAACGCCTCTTATCAGATCTTATCAGCTGATATCACTCCCTGTCACCCACCAATAATGTTCCCGTCACAGCCCCTATATCACTCCTTGGAATCAACTTCCCACAGCTACTGGGACGGTCGCTATGAATTTCGTGACACACAGACAGACACACAGGCACATAGCGAATTATATATAGTAGGATTATGCTTGAGACCGCAGAAGTCCACTGACATATACAGCCATCGGCGGTCCGAAGAACGCTCGAGAACAAGGCGTACCGGGTTGTGGTAGGGCCTGCAGCACTTCGCAGCGAGTCCCTTATGCAAATATCAGGGGAGGCAGCGATGTAAGGATGCTGACCAGGAAAGTCCGCCAACTTACCATGGAACTTTGAATGGAGACCTGGGTAGATCGATAGAGTCTATAAGGTTATTTACAAATATAGATAGCAAAACTGCAACCTGCATTTCACAAGCAACTTATGAGCAGGTAAAGTTTGTAATGGTGCAGTAGGGTGGAGGCTTGGTGGTGAGCTGTGAAGCATAGCGAGGAATCGCATACGTCGAATCGAGCTTGTGGAATGCAGGTTGAAGTTTTGCTATCTATATTTGTAAATAACCTTATAGACTCTATCGATCTACCCAGGTCTCCATTCAAAGTTCCATGGTAAGTTGGCGGACTTCGTCACGAATTGTGCTGTCAATCGAAGTGAAGGCAGCAGAGCAGCGACTTCGATGGTGCAGAGATTGCAGAACCACCTGTTAGGGAAAGAAGGGGATTTTGAATTACAGGGAAAACGACCGCTAGGCCCTAAAGAACGGATGGCACATTATCGAAGAGCGCCTCACGTCGACGGCAGATGCCATGGATAGGGAAAAAAGAGACTGACAATAGCTGCAGACCTCGTGATGGCGCAGAATCAACGCTAGAGAAAGGAAGAGGATATGGGCCACTCGTCTCGTGCGTGAGATTGTGAGATTTGCTCTGTCGCATGCGTGAGTCTTCCTGTACAACTCTAGCTTGCCCTGCGCCCGATTTCTATAAACTGTTGTCACAAAAGATATTAGGACAAGGAGTTGTATGCATACCGCTTCCGTGGCAATCTTCACATTTTCTTGCGTTTCCATTCTACACACAGAAGTTGCTTTTTCTTCCAGGAGGTGTGAGAACAATTCCGCGCTTGACTCGATTGGATTTCTTCCTTGTCCAGCTAGTCTAGACACTCTCGGATCGTGCCGCCTTCCAGACTACACAGTGGCGAAGGATTTATTGTCGTTGTAACTTGGAAGTGAACACCTGCAAAACTCCTCTCTCTCTCTCTCTCTCTCTCTCTTGTGACGATACTGCCAGAAGTTTTACGTGCATAGCCGTTCCATGACGTTCCCCACTGCTTTCCATGACGACCTTTGAAAATGTAGTACATGTGATGCAGAAACCATCCGTTTTTCAGGCTAGAATGCGATTCGTGTACCCGTTGAAATCACCAACGATGGAATGGCTGGTGGATAAATACAGTGAATCTCATTCCTTTTTTTCGCAGATTCTTACATAATCTGTTACAGTGTTACGGTATCCATTTGCCGCAGATACGGAAAGGTCGAGCAATGGGTTCTAAGGTGTTCAAATTTGAGGTGTTCAAATGTTTCCCTTAGCCGAAGCAACCGAATATTTCGTCACAGTATGCAATTCGAAACCCGCGTGATTTGTCTTTAATCAATTAGACAAGCCCTTGCTCGAGGACGGCATCCTTCGTTAACCTACAATTTTGATGGATGTATTAAACAATGGAGAAATTTCAGTAATGAAGACTAACTTCAAATTCACTGTACTGGCAAAACTTCGCTATCCACGTGATCCTTTCAGTTTTCGAGAATCTCTCAAATATTTTGCTTGAAAGAAATTCTAGCGATATCAGCAGAACAACCTTCAGGAGTATTGGAACACAAACGCCACTGTACGACAAGTGCCCAACAAGCGAAGAATAACAGATTTGGTGAGTCGTTTCTGATCTTGCAAAACGGCTATCTCCAAGCACCTACGTCTTTTAATGTCCAAGTTCCTTTATCGTATACAAGTGGGACATGTTTCGTATCGCTGGTGTGTTTTACTGACAAACAATAAGTGATCTGCCTGGCCACAGTGGTTTTCCGGACTAAGTAGTCTCCTTGTATCTGAAATTGAGTCAACTCATTGAAGGGAGACAGTCTAATTATTGACTTCTTTTCTGACATACCTTTAACATGTCCTCCACCTCTTTACGTGGAATCATGCCGTGGTACCAAATATGTGTTGTCAAAGTCTTGTCTACTAGCTGAAATAGAATGGGTACATTGATACGTGTTGTCTGCCTAACTGTAGCACCTGGAATGCACATCATCATGCTCAGGATTGCAAGAAAACAGATGTTTGTCTGCTGAGGTAGGAAGAGAGGCCGGTAGGGGGGGGAATCGTACCAATCCTCCCCTTTTTTTGGGGGGAGGGGAGGGGTGGTACGACCCATCCACTGGCCCTCTGTCTCTCCTCACTCAATCGAGCCGTCGAGCGGGGGGAAGGGGGGGGATAAATAGCACATGTGAAACAATACGACCCCCATCCTCTACCAATTTTCAGATTTTCCCCAACTTCCTGCCACTTTTTTCCAAAATTTCCCGAAAACTTCCCTACTTTTTACCAAAAATTTTGCTGTCGAGCGGGGGGGGGGGTATATAGTACGCATGAAACAGGAAAATCACAAAAAGTCAACCACCGCTCCTACAACGTCAAAACGTAAATACGACCCCCCTCCCAACAATGACCAAGTACGACCTCCCCCCCATTTACAACGTCCG